GAGAGGGGAGTGTTGTGTTAGATCTGCCAGGCCCATCTCTTTTACTAACTAGCTCTGAGACCTTAAGCAAATAATTGCACTTCTCAGTGCTCAGTTTCCCCATCTGCTAAATGAAGATCATAATACCTTCCCTGTCTACTTCACTGCATAGTCATGAGAATGAAATGAAATATGTAAATGAAAGTACTTCAAAAAGTTAAAAGTGCTATAACAATATCTTTAGTGCTATTGTTATATTACTACTATATAGGGTGTCCCAAAATTCTTAATGCACTATTAAGCCTTTTAAAAATCTATAGTTTCTAAACACATTGAAGTCAGATTAGCAATTGAGGTGTAATCCTTCCATGGATGTAATTGACTTGCTGGGAGGTAATGAACCAGAGTGCCCAGGAGGGAGAAAGAATTACTTCCTAACAGAAAAAAAAATGGTAACTTCAAAATATTTCATATCTTTAAGCTTTAATATCTTAAAATTACACTAAGACTTTTTGGGACTCCTTGTATTACCAGTCTTGGGGCAGATCTATAGACATATGCAATGTTTTGTCAACATTCTGTAGAAGTATTGTGTTAATTTATTTTAAGGTTAAAACACACACTCATGAGCATGCGCACCCCCCCCACACACACACACAGAGTGTGTGAATACAGTGAATACAGTCATTGGATTAAGTGCAGGGAGAAGTAGGATAGTGTAGTAGAAAGAACACAAAATTTGGAGTCAGAGGACCTGGGTTCAAATCTGATTTCTGGGATGGTGGGATTGGGCCAGTCACTTTTCCTGGTTTCTTCATCAGTAAAATGATGAGTTTGTGTTGCACGATCTCTAAGATTCTTTTTAGTTCTAAGCCTATGATCCTGTAACATTAAGAAATTCTCAAGCCAACCTTTGGTATCCTTAAGTGCATAATTGCTCTAAGCAAAAGGAGCAAGGACTAGAGAAAGGAGAAGGCCTAGCGATTGATGATTTACCAAGGTAAAAAGAGGATAGGACAGCAAAAATCTTGTGTTACATGGCAATGAACAACACGGGTAAGAACTTCCCAGAGGCATCTTAGAAGGGAGGGGAGTACTGAATTCTAGATCTGGGGCAGAGTTGAAATCTCTGCAGGCTTCATCTAATTTAAACCAGAGTCAATAAGGGACCTGTGGTTTTACTCTCTTGCTGTTGTCCAGTCGTTTTCAGTAGTGTTCAGTTCGGGGTTTTCTTGGCAAAGATACTGGAGTGGTTTGCCATTTCTTTCTCCAGATCATTTTACAGATGAGGAAACTGAGACAAACAGAGTTAAGTGACTTGCTCAGGGTCACACAGCTAGTAAGTATCTGAGGCCAGATTTGAATTCAAGAAGATGAGTCTTCCAGACTCCAAGCCTGGCATTCTATCCACTGTGCCACCTAGCTGCCCCTTACTCTCTTGACCCAAAGGGATAAATGTAAAACACAAATTCTTAAAATATGGTTCCAAGAGCCTTTGCAGTTTGTAATTTGCTGGGGGGGCTAGCTGTAGAAGGCATTATTTCCTACGAGTCTGCCTACTTCCCTCCATCTTTCTATACCCCACACTAGATCAGCCACATTCTTTAGCCACATAGAATTTCATGGATCCTTAGTGGGGGACCTTAGTGCTCATCTAGCCTCCTTATTTTCCCAAGACACTCCCACTCTGCCCAGCCAGGGGGCTTCTGGAACAGATGTCCTCCCCCACACCTGTATTTCAAACCTCAATGATCTCTCCTAAAAGATATTGTTATTTTGTCCAATTGGACGGTCGTCCTTTAGAGAGACCATGCTTCCTACTTTATATACTCAAAGTTGAAGCAGGATTTGGGAAAGGGATGGCAGAGGTGCCAGATCCAGATCCAGCCTTGGCCAACTGGGGAAATGTAGGTCAACACCTAAAGGAGACAACTGCTAGATAATGAGAAATAAAGAGAAAAATTCGTGGAAAGAAAAGAGGTCTAGGAGATATATAGTATAGCATTCACTCTGCTTTGTCACTGATCAAACAGAATTAATGGGACAATTGGGGATGGGGTTCAGGAAGAGACGAGGAAGAGAGAGTAAGACCCAAAATGCTTCATTTCATTCACAGTGCCTGGCATCTAGGAGATGCTTAATAAAGGCCCATTAAATAAATTAATGGCCACTCTCTATAGGTTGTCTGTATGGGCCCAGCAAAAAGACATGACAATAAAGGAGAAAGACAAGTGCCTCTGTACAGGAAGAGGGCAGATGTAGTTACTGCCTTAGCCCATTTAGTGCCAAAATGGACCACAAAACCACATTACATAGGTTTTAGAGGTCAGAGGTTTTAGAACTACTAAGCACCTTAGAGGTCATCCTACCATATTGGACCAATGAGGAAAAAGGGCACCAGACTTTAAGTGACTTATCCAAAGACATAGTAATAGTTGATTTTTTTATCATCACTCCTTCATTCCCCTCCTGGCCTGGTTCCTAACTTTCTCTGGACTTCCAAATCATGCCTCTTCTGCTGTCTAATCCTAGAAATTCCCTCAGCACCTGGGGCCTCCTCACCCTGGAACATCCAACCATCCCTGCTGCCTTCTCATCCTGGAATATTCTTGTTCTCCAAGGCCCAGTCCTCTTCTCCCATTGGTGCCTGCCTCTTGGAGCCTCCATTTGGTAAAGGGGTCCTCTGAGTCCCAATCTGGTGCTCTCTCCTACATTCTACTCTAAATCCCAGAACCTTGAAAATGTTGGCTTAGCCTTTTTACTCTTTCACAAAATTTGCTGCTCTGTCTTTGAGGTAGAAAAGCTCCCTGCTCCTTCCTGAGGGGCCCCATGAGGGTCAATATTATGGACAGGTTGCCTGTGAAGGGCTGTTAGCTTCTCAGCAGGACACTGTGAAGAAAAATTCATGCCCGGCCCTTTGGTAGTATTTTCAACAAATCTTTGAGAGAAATATCCAGTTATTTCTTCCATCTGTTTTTATCCCTATCTCCACCTTTCAAACCAATTAGGATATTCCACCATGAAGGCCCAATCCAATGAAATGTTAATTGGAAAAATAACAGGAAAGATAATGCATACACTTCAGGCTGAGAACCATTTCATTAAATTGGATTTTGAAATCAAGACAGCCAATTAAATTATTTCCCACTTCATTCACTCACGTACAAGAAACTGTGGAAAGCTATTACTTTTAATTAATTAGTAAAGAAAAGAAGGACTCTGCATCAGCATATCAGATAAATGGCTACTGTGAATACTGTTCCATCTCTACACAGACTCACACTGGTAAGCGCGGGCGCGCACACACACACACACAGAGATTCTGTTCTCTGCGATTTGTTTCTTTTCTTGCCCCACTCCCATTCACACAACTATGAACCCCAAAGTGTCCAAATACAATAAGAAAATATCTGTTCCCTAGAGTGACTCCCAAAAAAATGGCCAAAAGGAAATGCCATTTTTGACCATTAGGTATCAAAGGATTTTTTTCATAACCATCCATTTGGTGAACTCATATTCATAGACAGGATTATAGACAAAGCTGGAAGGGGCCTTAGAACTTAGCCTAAACCTCTCATTTTATAGACAGGTAACTGAGGTTCATAAAGCTTGAGTAAATTGCCCGAGGTCACATAGGAAGTAGGTGCTGATGCCTAAGCGTCAAAAGAAGAGTCAAAGTCTAAGTAAGGAAAGATCCCCGACCTCATGGAGGCAGTGAGGTGGCATAATAGACGTTGCTAGAGCCAGGGAGACTTGCATTCAAATCTGCCTTCAGACATTTACCAGCTGTGTGACCCTAGGCAAATCACTTAACCTCTACCTCAGTTTCATCAACTGTAAAATGGGGAGAATAACAGCATCTACCTCCCAGGGTTGCAGGGAGGATCAAATGAAATGATTGTGAAGTGCTTAGCACAGTGCCTGGCACATGGTAGGTGCTGTATAAATGCTTATTCCCTTCCTTTGTTGTGAGTATGAGGATGAGACAAACACAAAGCCGATAATACTAATGTAAAGCTAATAATACTCAAGAATATTTACTAAATTCGTTAGGGAGGTGCAGAATGAAAAGAAGTACTACTTTTTAAGGAGCTCCCCAGGTTCGTCTAAGACAGTTGTGTCTAATTCAAATAGAAATGAAGCCACTACGCTGTACAGAAGGATCCTTGCAGGCCCATATTAAGAAAAAAACATATTAATATTATTTAGGTTTTATTGTATATTTATTTATTTTAATTTGGTTTGAGCCTGTTGACAACATGTTTAACACCTCTGGTCTAAGAGGAATAGGACTGAGAAAAGATTATATAGGGCATCAGCTGACCCCTAGTTCCTATCCACCCAATCCTAAGAGTGCCATAGGTCTGATCCATCTCACAGCACCAACTACAATAGGGGCCCAGCCCACCCTACCTTTTCTGACTAAGCCCTGTGAGGGTGCTGCTACTAATTAGGACCATACATCAGGACATCCATTGTGCCATTTTCTAAAATGCATTCCTGATTTCTGAGAGTCTCGGTTTATGCCTGAGTCTTGACACGCAGGGGCATCTTAGTTGACTTTTTAAACAGTTGAGCTTCAGCAGGGCTTAATTGGATCAATTATACAAGAGCACCTGCTGAGTCGATGGCCTTCCCAGATCTGTTTCTGCCTCAGAGGGTTGCAAGAATAAGCCAGAGGTGTCTGGTACTATACTCATTTCCCATAATTCTTGTCCTGGTTAAGAGATCACAGCACAGAGTCATAGAGTTGTGATGGTCCTTAGAGGGTCACCTAACCCAACTTTCTTATTTTATAGATGAAAAAAACCAAGGCCCAAAAAAGTTAGGTGACTTGCCCATAGTCAGATCCAGAACCAGGATCTGAACTCAGCTCCTCTGGTTAGAAATATAATGTTCCTCCCACTCCAGCCTAGCCATACATTCCCATCCTGGATTTTCCTTTAGGAATGAAACGTCATTGGTCAACAACTCCTTTCTTAACACCCATTTTATTTGCATTTTTCCGTGTCCATATACAGGTCTCCTGGCAGGACAAGACAAGTCCAGCCAACAGAACCACATGGCAGAAACTAGCAGGATATAAATGAGAAATGGCCTGTGGCTCTCTGAAGCTGAAGCCCTGGACAGATGCTTCCCCGCTAAAAAATAGTATCATCCAGCCTCTTTCCTCACCGCCTTCCCATTTCTGGGACCAGATGCTTCCCATCCAACCTAACCTTGTGGTGCCATGAGAACTTTGCCATTGACTTGCTGGGTGTCATTTGGATTGGTCTGACGGGAGCTGTACAGAAGTGGGAGTGCCTGCTGAGTCTATGTCTTGCATAGAGAGATTAACTTAATCTAAACAGAAAATCCATCTTCCCCCCTGCCCTGTGGCGAACCACTCAAGAGGCAAAGATTTGGTCAAATCAGACTCCATGGCACCAGCCACTAGGGCCCTGCCTCTTGCCTTTCTGATTGCCTACTGTTCTGCCTAGATCAGCTTAGGGCGGGAAGCAGAGGGAACATTGGTTTCTTCCCTTTCTCTTTTCTTCTCTCTGCCCCCAACCCCCCACCTGCTGAATATCAACCAAGAGGGTAGGGTATGGCAAGATAGTATTGAGCATTTTCTCAAGGCTTTCCAAAGACATTTCCATATGGGAAGGGCAAGAGGAAAGTAGAGGTAAATTTCCTCTGTGGAAAGTTTTATCACAAGGACCAAGTAAAATTGGATGACCGTGGAAGAAACTTCAGAAGTTACAGAAAGCCAAGCATGAGCAACCAGGGTCTCTTTGGTGTTGGCAGTGGCATGGGGGGAGAACCACCCAAAGGAATCACCATTTATTCATTCATTCATTTGTTCATTTTCTGACTTTTGCATTTATACATGTATTTTTTAAAGTATGTATTTATTGTAAGCTGGAAAGTTGGCTTTCATCATTGAAATAACTAGCCTCAGTTTTACCCACAGGGCAAGGCAATACAATCTTCTTTGGAGCCACAGAGAAGGGTCATAGGGTCTAAAATTGGAAAGGACCCTTGAGGTCATCATATCCAATCCCTACATTTGACAAACGAGGAATGGGAGGCACAGAGAGATGAGGTAGTTTGCCCAAGGTCACAGTACCAGGGAAGGGCAGAGGTGGTGTTCAAACCTAGGTCCTCTGATTCCAAAATCAGAGCTCTTCCCATTACAGCACACTGAGTAGTCCAAAAAACATTCCCTCTGAAGCTTAAATTCATCCCACCAAAGACCCCTTTCCTCCCTCAGCATGCTAATTCCACCTCTAACCCTAATTCTAACTCTATTATGCAGTAGGTAAAGCACCGAAACCATTTTTGAAGTTGAAAGGAAAATTGGCAATCTAGTACAACTTTGGATGAGATGACCTCTAAAGTCCCTTCCTAATCTAAATCTAGGGTGTTATTATCAAACCTTCTCCCTTTATCATTGAGGAAACTGAGGCCCAGAGAGAGGGAACGATTTGTCTAAGATTGCACAGTTGGTGGCAAACTCAAGACTGGAACCCAGGTATCCTGACTCAGTCCAGTGCTCTCTGCATTACCTCATCCTTTAAGACCTTTACTGTCTTATCCATTTTCACTTCCAAGCCCATGTAATGTTGGGTTAGGAGGTTGCTCTTCAGCTCCAAACCACTGCTTAAGGATCTAGGTTCTTTGTTTTGTATTTGCCATCCTCCAAAGGCCCTTCAGATCCAAGATCTGGCTTTTCCTTAAGCATTAAGAAGAGGACTGTCAACTGGAAAAAGAAAGAATTATTTTTACCTCTCCTCCTGCTCCATTCTCCCCATTGAACCTCCCCCCATTCCTTAAATCCAACTTGCAGCAGATTTCAAAGGTGAAGGGACAAGAGAGTATAGAGTGTTGGGTTTATTTTTTCTTACCTTACGAAGACCAGGACCAGTCATTCCACTTCAAATATTTAAAACAGTCTTCAAGTATGTGTAGGGTTGTCACGTGGATGATGATTATATTTGCTCTACTGAAAGGCAGATCTAGGCACAATGAATGGAAATTGCAGAAGGACAGATTTAGGCTGGATTTAAAGGAAAATTACCTAATAATTAGAGCTGTCCAAAAGCTGCTTCCAGGAATAGTGGCTTTCCCCTCGCTAGAGGTCTTCAAACAAATGGCTGATCACTCATTAGAGTTGTGATAGAAGGGATTCTTGGTCAGAAATAGTTTGGGTTAGGGGCCCTTAAGTGGCTTCTGAAGTCCTTCCAAACTCAGATTCTGGGATTCCCAAAAAGAACCACCAGGCCACTCTTAATCAATATGCAGGAGATCCAAGAGCAGAAATCTGCTAATTCTGCCGGGTTCTCCTCCAAGGTTCCCGCCTTCCTTCCTTACCTCTGCCACCATCACCAGATTTTGTGACTTCAAAGGTTTGGGAAAATTCAGTGATGTTCCTCTGTCCCTCTATGAAGTAAGTCTTCCTGCTCTCCATGCCCTAGGCCTGACACGTTCCTTGGGAGCCCCCTAGATGAAATCCTAAGTGACACTTGAAGAAAGAAAGAATACTGCCCAAAAGCCAGTAAAGTCATCAAGAGATCAACGAACATGGGTGAATGTCCAGTGTTTATTGATTCACTGAATGGTATCACTGTGGTCTTCACAGCTGTGGAGAATACATTTATGTACGCATCAGGGCATATGTTGTCCATGTCTACAGGCACACAAAAGTTCGTTTTGAATGGAATTCCAAACTGAAACAATTCACAGCCTTCAGTATCTCTTATTCATTGAACTTTCACCATACTAGAGTCATGATGAGTCCCGTGAACTCCAGAACTCACATGTGTATAAACTCAAACTATTGTGTTAAATAGATTATAATTAAGTAGGCAAAGTTATCATTGGAACTCGGTTATTGCCAACTTCCCCCTAACCCTCGACTAGAAATTATGCTCTCAAAATGTTTCCCAGTTATCCCTAGGTTTCCACTATCTGCTTCCACCCCCAACTCCATCTCAGTTAGGCCTATTTTCCCCACATACCTCCCTATGTTGTAGATTTTCACCAAGGTCAAAACTTACCTCTTTGGTCTCCTGCTCCCTCCAAATCCTGACCTTCATTATGTGCCAACTTGAACAACCTAATCAACGGTTCTTCCATAAGGTCTTAGTGGGTGCTAATAGGCTGAATTATTATGCCTCCTAAGTAAACACATCATTTAACCCAGACCTCCTAGAAATTATGCCTTAACCCAAAAGAATGACTAATGGTAGACATCCCAGGCACTTTAGTAGGCCCATAGGGAGGATATATTTAGGCAGATGAGCTAATGGGTGATATTTTTAGAAAGGCAAGTTGCTCAACTCATGCCAAGATGTGGGCTCCCTACCCCGCCTATGGGTAGGACTAACACCATCCATACCCAAGGAAATATACGTGTACTTTCCACCGTCTTGAGATTTTCTTTTCAGTATCCCTTTGTTGATGCATATAAAAAGTAACCAGCCAAATTAACTAAAACCTAAGAAATTTAAAGTATCAGCCTCCGTTTCACTGTCTGGTAACCACCTGACTTTAGCCTATTGCCTTTTGCTCCCTGGACATCACCTGTTTTGCTTCTTGACATCTCTCCTCCTCAGTCCTGTCCTTTCTTTACAGTTTTCTTTTTGAATTGTGTAGTGTTTGATGTTACCAAGGATGGGAAAGGAGGTTCAGAACACAAGCATGTATGTGTGTGTGTTTGCATTGTGTGTGTGTGCATGCATGTATGCACATGTGTGTGTCTCTGTGTCATTTTGGAGAAAAAGAAATCAGGTATTCTGCTTTGGTTTGGAGAAAACCCCAATGAAGGAAAAGATGAAAGCTGGCTTTGCAGAGTGCCTTAAAAATGACTTGAATTAGTAGGAAATTCTGACTCTTCAGTCTTTGGATGTTACAGAAACTCAAACAGATGTTGCATTTCACTTCTCTGGGATTAAAAAAAAAGTTAAATACAGTATGTATTCAACCAACAAAAACGTATGGGTGTTTTTTTCCTGCTCCAACTTGGTTCTTAAAGTTGCAGTGCATGGTTCTCTACAAAGCTCTCACAGAAGGGAACAAACAATCCAAAAGAGCCTTGTAATATACTGAGAGAAGATAATTCAGGGATGACACCTAGCTAGGGAAGCAACCATGGACCAATGGCCAATGCAGCAGTGGTGAACACTTGCCATGAGAGTTGACCCAGAAGAGTATACCACCAGGAGAAGGAGAGAACACCAACAAGAGAAGTTAAGAAACATGAGATCATGGACATGAAGGATAAAAAATATGACCTGTGAAAAAAGAAGAACCCCCTCCCTAACTTATTGCCCTTTATCTGAGGCCTGAGACTTCAGGATTCTAAGTCATATCATATCTTATGCCATGTCATGTCACATCATGTTTTGGCATGTCATGACATGTGATTGTCATATCATATTGCACCAAGGCAGTGTGGTATAATGGAAAGATCACTGAATTTGAGGTCATAGAATGTTAGTATGAGTACCAGCTCAGTCAAATACTGCCTTGTGACCTTGGACAAGTCATTTGAATTCTTTAATTTAGTTTTCTCATCTGTGAAATCAGAGAGTTGAACCAGATGACCTCTAAGGTTCCTTCAAACTCTGAGCCTATATTGTTATATCATACTATGTTATGCTATGCCATGTCATGTTACAGATTTAGAGTTAGAAGAACTTTGAAAAAAATCACATACTTTGGGATCAGTAGCAATGGCCACAAAGCCTGCCTTGCTATCTCCACCTCATCTCCATACCTCCTCTCTCCATATACAGCCTTCCTTCTAAGCACACCCATTCTGCTTTCACCATTCCATTGTTCCAAGTGGTCTTGGAGCTGAACACAAACTCAACATCTGTCATCCATTACTTGACCAAAAAAGAAAAAGTGGGGAAGGTTGGAGAAGTATGGAGAGACTCTGTGAGCCTGAGTTCCTAAAAGCAATGACAAGTCTTCCAATGGCTCATTTCAGTTCTTCCAGACGTTTGTGTTTTTTTTCATGATCAGACCCTATCTAGTCACTAGAATCTCCTGATGCACTTCAGACCTAAAAGTTATGGAGGGTAGGGAAGAACTAAGTGAATGCCCTTTCCTACTTCAGGGGCCGTAACTCAATCCCTTTTCTCTAGACATCTGCTTTCTCCTCCTCAACACCCATTCAGAGATGAGTTGCTGCCTCACGGGCAGGGCATGTCAATGAGTCAGGAGCCATAAACAACTGTGGGCTTCTGAGCAGTCTCACCCTGCTAGGGTTGCCAAAGTTTGGGAGTAAAAGCATCTAGATGCCCCAGTCCAGGAAAGAATAAGCAAGAGAAAGGGAAACCTGTAACAATTGTGGGTTGCCACTCTTAAAAGAATAATAATTAAAATAAACACCTGTAGCCCAACTGCTGCTTACAAGAGTCACTACAAAATCTTGGGGATAAGGATGGGGGTGGGACTGGGAAGGGGTACATTCTCCTATCTTTCTTGATTCCTGCCTCTTCCCCAGGGCAGCTAGGCAGCACATACTAAACTCCGTAGAGAGCAGCTTCCAAGAGATATTTTAGAAAAAAGGAATTATTTTGTCTGTTCTGTCAGATTGCATGCTTTATGTCACCCTCTCTGTGAATGAACAATTTGCACTTTTACCCCCCTTAGTTCCTTTTCAATAAAATAAGGAAACAATCAATCTACAAAGTAATCATCACTGGACACTGTTCTAAGCTTGAACATGTGCACATATAGAATTGCAATGATGCTTACTATGTGAGTGAGTAAGGGTGAGTGTGGCACAAAGACACAGAAGCTGAGTGTGCATAATGCTCCTTCCTCCCTGGGGAGAAAAAACCTACCACAACAAATCTCCGCAACAGTCCACAATATCAGGCATAACTCTACAGAGGTAAATGGATGTGTCTCTGCGATAAGTAAGTATGTTTTTCCATTAGACACCAATTCAGAGATTATTTATACATTTAACACATGTGGCACTCATTAGGGAAGGGAGCGCTATTTTGTGAGAACACAAGCCATGGAGGCAGTCAGATCGGCTGCCTGGAAAGTTAGTTTACCAAATAGCTGTGTGTGTCACAGTGGAGATAAGTTAAAGTCATCAAGAATGTGCTTTTATCACACATAACACATACCTCCCAGAGTAATTCATCAATCTGAACTTCTGTGTTTAAAAAAAAAAAAGGCAATACCAGTATCACGCAGAAAGGTGACTAACCAGGTCATGTGGAAATACAGCTAGCCAGAATCCAAGGATCCTTGGATGAAAGCGTGCACAGCAAAGGACAAATGAATGGAGAAAGTATTACATGCAAATATGCAGATGAGCTGGTGATGCTCCTGTGCAGAATAAATGGGAAAAAAAGAAAAGGTGCAATCAGGGCACCAACTGTCCAAGATCTGTGGCTCTGTTGGGGCTGAACAGCTGTGCTCCACTCACACTGGCCTCCATGGGGAAAGACAGGGCTTGTTAGCTCATTTTGTAGAGGGATATACAAATTATAACTGGGTTATAAACATAGAGCTGGACGGATCCTGAGGGTCTCTCTATTCAAAATCCCTTATTTTATAAATATGGAAACTGAGGCCCAGGGAGACCCCAAAGTCACACTATTGGAAGACCTCAAAGGTGGGATTTGAACTCAGATCTTCCTCCTCCAGAGCTTTTGTTCTTCTCACTATACTACATTGCCTTCTGACTAAGGCAGACCAACCTGGGAGAGGGCAGAGGTGGCATTTCTTCAGCACTTAGAAACAATTGAGCTTAGCACCTGGTTAGCAAAAATAATCCATTAAGGTAAACTATTTTCTGGGCTTTCTTCCTTGTCCTGCACTCCAGGGGCACTCCTCCCTGATCCTTCTCAGCTCCAACCTCAGCAGCACCTTTCTAGCAGTGACTTCCAACATTTAACTCAGTATTCAGCACATAGTAAGTGCTTTTTTATTGTTGCAGTCTAGCCATGTCAGTCTAGTTCATCTCTTTGTGACCCCTTTGGGGTATTAAGATACTGGAATGGTTTGCCATTTCCTTCTTCAGCTCATTTTACAGATGAGGAAACTGAGGCAAATAGTATTAAGTGACTTGCCCTCAGTCACACAGCTAGTAAGTATCTGAGGCTGGCTCTGCACTCAGGTGTCTATCTATTGCACCATCTAGCTACCCAGTCGGTGCTTAATAAATGATTGATTGATCAATTGGCCTGTTATTCTAGGAAGGAGTCTCAGGGGTCTCTGCCCACCAGGGGCTCATATCCTTAGGTGCCTCCCCTATAAGATTCTGTGTGCTTAGGTCCAAGATCTTTCCTTATGCCCCATCACCATTCTCAACCCCCAAACCTATACATATATTCCAGCTGCTTAGCTCCAAATACATTGTGTCATTGCCCCTATGACCAGAATTAGTAGTTATGCTTTTAACAAACAGGGTTGAAGGGAGACAAGGAGTTGCTGCATTTCAGATACTAGATTCCTATCTCCTTTTCTGACCCACTGAGGTTGTGTTTGCTTCAATAGATTGACACATAAATACCAGTTAGAAGAACAAGAGTACCATGTGCAGGTGTGACAGATGGAATAGAAAGTAAAGGATAAAAGGTTAAAAAGCCAGTTTGAAATGACAGGTAAGGTTGTGAATTTGGGGAAAGTATTGGTTATTCATTACCAAAAAAATGGATATACAGGCAAAGACCCAGATTTATGAAAGTGGTGCTGAACTGTGGTTTCTCCATCTCTCTCCTCTTCTAAAGGGATTCCATTTTTCCCTGAGAAAAGTGTTTCCAAACAAATGTCTGTAAAAACAGCCCTCTCGCTTCTCAGGGCAGCCTCAGAGATACCCTAACTTAAGGACTCCACAGGAAATTCAAGAAAACCACTGGAAGGACAGACGAACATGGCTGAAAGCACAGAATCACAGAATTACAGAGTTGAAAGGGACCTCCTCCAAGGAGGAGGAATTCACCAGCCCTCAGGATAGCATATTCTGTCTTGGAACAATTCAAATAAGTTTGATATTGACATCTACCCCACCCTGGCCTCTTTGTAACTTTTCCCTGATGCTACTGATCCCATTCTCTGGAACCAGAGAGAACTTAATCTCTTTGCTATATGATAGCCCTTCAAATATTCAAGGGCAACTAATATGTTCCCACCACTTTTCTCCAAGTTAAATACCTTCAGTTCTTCCAATAACTCATTATGTGACATCCTCCACCATCCTGTTTTCCCTCCTCTGAACACTCTCCAGCTTATCAATGTGCCTAGAATTGAACACAATACTCCAGATGAGGTCCAGAGTATAGTGGAACTCTAGCCTACCTATTCCTGGAAGCTGTGCCTCTTAATACAACTCAAGACCCCACTAGCCATTTTTGGCTGCCCATTGGTGCCTCTGACTCATACTGAGTCCATAAAACCCTCCTGACCTTTTTCAGAACAACTGTTGTCTATCTATGTCTCCCCCTATTGTACATGTGATGTTGCTGATCTTTTCTACCTAAGCATGACTTCACATTTATTCCTAGTGAATGTCATCTTTGTTTCAGTCTGGTGCTATAGCCTGTCAAGATCTTTTGGGATCCTGACCCTATTCCCCACTGTATAAGCTATGCTTTCTAGCTTTGTGTCATCTGAAAATGGATGCCTTTATCTAAGTCAGTGGTAAAAATGTTTAACAGCAGAGTGAAGATCCTGGGATACTCCACTAAAGACTTCTTGCCCCATTGATATTGAAACATAAGCTTCTAGAAGCCAGCACCCCTCCAAACAGGTCTGAATCCATTTAGTTGTATTATCATCTAGTCCAGAGGTGTCTAACACACAGCTTGAGGGCTGCAAGAGGCTGAAAACTCCTGACTGAAACCTCAACCAGATTATAATGTAATTGGGAAATGTTTAACAAAATGAATAAAAATGCAACACAATATAGATAATATTAATTTGTGGTTTACTGAATCAATATGCAGCTGACAGTGATCTATATCTACTTGAGTTTGACACAACTAGTCTGGTCTATATCTCTTCATCTTCTCTGTGATATGAGTAAATAATTTTCTCAG